TTCTCAGAATTAAAGAAAGTTTATGATATGGATAAATGAATTTTTAGAGTTCTGGATTGAATAAAATGCTTCGGTCAAATATTAAATAATTAGTGTCCCTTAAATAGGAGACAAAGATATAAGATTCATTAATAACATGCTAACCCAATAAAATGCATTTATAATGCCGTTATAAAGGCTCTGAGTCATTGTCTAAGTCACCAAAAGATATTTAAGGATAGTAAAAAAAAAATTATAAAGCAGTAAGGGTAGGGTTTACATAGTCTTCTATCTACCCGGTATTGTAAAATCTTTACTACGTGACTCAATAAGGTTGACTAGCCTGTCAATAAAACTAATTATTTTCCTCTCTGCTCCTCTATGATAGCGACAAAATTGAAGATTTTTCATTGATTAGAAATTCTAAAAAAGCATGTGAAAAAAAGAAGACCCGTAAGAGACGAATGAGACCAGTAAATTAGAAGCTTGTTAAGGAAGCTTTCCAATTCTCTCTTCCCTTCTTCATTTCATGCCACCTAAGAGCTCTTCATTGGGGGAATTCTTTCTAGGCCATGTGATGAACACTTGACAAATGGATGATGACACATGGCAAGGTCATGAAATAAATTGCTTAATCAAGAAACACGTGGTAAGGCATATCAATCATATGGGAATTAAAACTTCTAGAAGCCAAGACACTTATCATCTTTGATGGACACTTGGCCAGATCATATGGAGGGTGATTTAAGCAAATGACATGTCTTATGGTAAAGTAAATTAAATACAACAAAGTAAATGGTAACTCTTGCATTTTAAATACCTTCCCTCTCCCATTTATATGAAGTTTTTGGCTAAAGAGAGAAGGGGGGGAGGTCGAAACTTTGAAGGGGAGAAGGAGAAGAGAAAGAGAAAGAAAAGCCATACAAGATCAAGCTCCAAAATAGGCATAATTATGGTTTTTGATGTAGTAGTTTATCTTGCTATTTGTTTTATTAAGCTTAGTCATGGTTTTGATAGATTTTGAAAGCTTGAAACCCTAGGTTGGAATGCTGTTAAATTATGTTTAAACCATAAAAAAGATTGATTGATGCTAGAATCATGTTTAAAGGTTTAAAAAGAATGAGAATCAAGTGATTTTGAGATGATTTATGAAAGATTTCATGGTTGTATATCTAGGGATATGTTTCGGCCAAGGCTTGTTCTTGAGGCTAGGGGTGGATTTTGATAATTTTGATAATTTTGATACTTCTAATGAGTTCAGAAAATGAAATTGTATTGGGTTATGTTGAGAAAATATATTTGGAAGCATTAGAATTGAAAATGAAAATTTTGGATTCCAAACCCTAACCTCTCAACCTTAAGTATTTAAAGGAGAAGGAATTGGATTTTATTAAATCCAAGCTCATATTTGGATTTCTCATGAAAAATTGAGTGGGAAATGGCGAACAAAATAACTTTAGAAGTAAAAAATAAGAAACAAAAAAATTTTAAGTTAAAGAGAAACAGGTTTGAGAATTAAGGGTTGTTAGTTATTTTCATGGTCTTGATGGATTGGCTATTAATGTACAATATGAATTTAGGGCTATCAGATACCAAGAAAGATGAACGGTAAGGTTGTCCAAGCAATCTTAGTGGTTAGAAGTAAAGGGAACAAGGGTTTCCCTAAAAGTTTCAAGGTAGTGAACTTACCTATTTTGTATGCTTGAAGTGTATGCTTGTGTTTTGATGTTGTTTGATGATGAATAAAAGTATAAATAGTTAAATGTTCCTCTAGCTTGAAGTGTATGCTTGTGTTTTGATATTGTTTGATGATGAATAAAAGTATAAATAGTTAAATGTTGCTCTATTTTTTATTTAATCCATGCCCATGTGTGTTTGAAATGTTAAGCATATGAACATAAAATTCTATAAGCATGACAGTATGTGTAACCAAGTATGTTATACACTTGCATCTATCTTACATGCATAATGATAATGTCTGTTACTGAATTCTCCTAAATCTCATTTACTCTTAACCAACCATAATAGATATCATGTGCAAAGAAAGAGGAATGCATGAAGAAAAACAAAGAAAGAAGAGAAGAAAGTGGTAATTGCACTTATGTATTTAATGTAACTTTTATTTTAATATATATATATATATATATATGAACATGCCTCTCAATGTTATGTAATATGAAATGATGTGATGGCATGTAAAGTTGAGTATGTTGATACATGAAAATGAATTATGCAATGCTAAAATGATTGTATGCAAAATATATATATGCATTATTAATGCAAGTAGGGGGTAAATAATCCCTAAATAAGCCATAAATTTGTGATAGAGTGAAAATGAGGAAAACAATTGAATTTGCCTATGAAATTTGGTATACTTAAAGTAGAGGTGAGAATCAGAGCCAGCCCTTCAGGGCTGGCGGGCTTAAAAGGGCCGGCCCTCCAGGGTTGAAATTTTAAAAATACTACAATTTACTAGGCCCAGCCCTTAAGCTAACAGGCTTAGGGCCGGCCCACGGGCTTTTGGCCAGTTTAAGAAAAAATATTATTTTTAATATTTCTCATTTTTTTTTCAAAAAAATAAAAATAAACCAATAAAATTGTTAATAAAAGACATAAATATGAATAAAATTAAGTCACAAATACGAAATATCATATATAAATATCCATCAACATCCAAGAACATTTAAAACATTCATTAACAAGATAACAGCATCCAAAAGTTTCATTTATAGTGCAATTGTGCACTAAATAAACATTATCATTAATCTTTTGAAACTTCATCATCACTATAATCAATTACTCTTCTTCATGGGTATGTTTTTTTTTCGTATATCAAGTTTTTCTTCTTTATAAGAATTTTACTTTTAAATTTTGCAATCTAACTATTATTTTACTTTAATATGAGAAACATTGTCGTTGAAACTCATGAATTTCTAATTCAAATTATAGAATCACAAGTTATATAAGTATAAAAATACTCTATTATCAAATATATATAGTTTAAAAATATCAACACATATAATATAAATCAAATCATTATTAAAGTCCAAATTAACCTATTTTTTAAAAATTTAATTGGATAAATTATTGTCTAAAACTAAATAAATCATATCATTCTGTAAAATTTAATTTTAAAATGATAATAATAACTAAATATTTGAAATATTATTAACAACGTAAAAATTTAATAATATTATAATAAAATTTAGAAAACAAAAAAAATTATAAAATGGTCTAAACGGGCCAGCCCTCAGTAAGCCCTCAGCCCTTTAGGGCTAGCCCTCCAGGGCCTATTTTCCATTTGAAGGGAAAAATTTCAAACCCAGCCTCATAATTTCAGGGCCTAAACGGGCCGACCTGACAGGCTCGACCCGTTTTCCCGGCTCTAACTTAAAGTGAACATTCTGACCTTTAAAACAAGTAGTAAATCACTTAAAATCGATGTATATACTAAAAAATATGATTGCTCAAATTTAGGGCAGAAAACTAGAAAGTATAATTTTTACCAGTTTGAATAGTAAACTTTCACGAATTAACTATACAAACTGAGAAGGGTTAGGCTCTTATTTATATTTTTTTTCCTATAGAGAATTGAAAAAGTTTCAAATGAAGATTTAAATCACCTTAATACAATTTTTTTTATAATTAGTTATGAATTTTTAAAGTTAAACAAAAAATCTGAAATTTTACTGGTGAATACTAACACCCAAGGAATTAAATACAAGTTTTTTGTACATGCTTATTTTATATTTCTGTTGAACCATAATGCTTCCACATGCGTATTAAAAAAAGGTAATTAGAAGGATGTTTTAATAAGAGACGATATTGCTATGATTTTAAACTTTTATGGCAAATTTGCTCTCAAAAAAACTTTCAAATATCTAGTGCTCTTGAGTAAAAACTTCTTAGACAAATTTGCATCTTAACCTTTTTTTAAAAAAAACAGAAAAACTGAAATTGTTCTTCACGTGAAAATTTTCACTTTTTCTCTCTCCTACTCCTATGTCACTTCATCCAAAACACCACTTAAACCATTTCTCATGTTCTTAATATAAGACATAGATAACTAATTTGCAAATATTAAAAAAATTAGTTAAATTAATTATTTATAATAAATATGTGTTATTTTTCTTAGATACTTTTACTGGTCATTTGCATTATAATAAAAACCCTTTAATATGTGTAATCATTATGGAGATTATTTTAGAAGAAAATGAATAAATATAGAAAACAATATTTATTTGGTTGTGGTGTTAAAATGAATTAAATATTTTTTTTCCCGGCAAAGAGGGAAAACTGATTTATTATTTGTAAGCATGTAATAATTATGTCTTTATTTTGTTTTTCTTTTGGAATGTGGGAGGCTAAATTACAATACTACCTTCAGTTGAGTTAATAGTTGAATTTTCAATTTGATTCTAAATATAAAATTTTAATTAATTTTGTCTCATAATTATTTATTTTCTTCCAAAACAAACTCATGATTGCACACTTTAAAGGGTTTTCATTCTAATTTTATGAAAAACAAAATATTTATTATCAATAATTAACTTGACTAATTTTCTTAATATTTACAAATTAGTTATATAAATCTTACATTAAAAATCGGAAGTAATAGTTTAATTGATGTCTTAAATGAAATGGCATCTGCATAGTGGTACATGCTTGGAGAGAGAAAAGGTGAAATCATTCGCCTCGAGAACTATTTCACCATTTTTGTTTTTAAAAAAAAAAAAGAGAAAATAAACAAGAAGTAATACAATAGCAGAAGATAAAAATTATTTGACGTAAATGATTTTAAGTGTAGTATCTTGATAGATAGTTCCCACCATGTCCTATTTCAATAAAAAAAAAAAAAATTTGAACTGTCTATAGCATCTTGACAAAAGTCCCGCTTAAAGATTATGAAGACAAGTGAGGACAAAAGAGTGGCACCTAGTGTGTGCGTGTGTTGGTAATGTGCGGGTTCGATCCCGGCCCTCATGTAACCAAAAAAAAGAGAGAGCAAGAGCATGGCAAAATTATGAAATATAAGTTTTTCTGCTGTCATCTAAGTAATTACATTTGAAATCCAATCATGAATAAGAATTAATAGATATTCTAAAAAATGGTGCTATGCTTTATGAAAGCATCCAAAGACGGCAAGAATCTGTTTGGTATGAAAACTATCAAATAATGAAAGTACGGATATTATAAATATTGCAAAAGCGAAAGAAAAAAAAATTCTCTTTCTGACTATCATACTAAACTCGTCGTCAAGTTTCAGGGCTAGCAATGAATAGATCGTCCAGTCAAAGAAGAACAATAATTGTCAAGCCAAGCAGAAGCAGATTTGAGAATGCGAAGCTCACCAACTAGGAGATCCCGAGCCATTTTCCTTCTAACAGCAAGTTTTGTTGAAAGGGAAGGAGCATTAGACAATTCCAATGACTGCAAGAACAATTAGGTCCTTTCAGTAGGAGAAACAACATGGAAGATTAATTTCCTTACCTCTTGAAATTCAAATTTATTAGCAAAACATTCACTAAAAATAGGCATTGTCCCAAAATCCTAGAATTTTGAGTAAACCTCATAACATCAATATATCAAGATATATAAACACGCAGTAAAATTTATAGCAAGCCATACTATTAATCAACCACAGATAATATGGTTCATTTTCGGTATTTCATATAACACACGTCGGGAGCCAATATAGTTTCAATATATATAGTCAGGAAATCTTTACCAGAATGGCTTCAGAGTGCTCGGCAATTAATTTGTTGAATAATGAAGACAACAGCAGGTGTGCTTCAATCTCTTTGCTGATATTGCGCAATGGCCGCCTAGCGAGCCTACCATCAGTTTGTGCGGCCTCCATGGCCAAATCGTCAAGTTCTGATATTTTGTCAGTACTATTTCCATTAGTGGATAATGTTAAGTGTAGATTATGTAACAGAAATCCATGACAAAGAAAACAAAGAAATATAAAAATGCACCTTGAGGAAAGGTGCACGAAAGGACGCGAGCAAACGCACGAAGAGATTGTGGAAGTCCCTTTCCTTTAGCAGATGTCACTTCCCTATATAAGATCATAGCTCTATCAGATAGACAGACATTGACAAGTATATTGGCAACATTTTACAGTGACATATTTTACCAATATTAACATCAGGTCTTGCAGTCCAATAATATTTATATCACCAACATGAGAAAAGATCAGCATTTTCTAACATCCAAATTCCAATCAGCAAGATATATCAGAGCCTAAGCATGCAGATTTTCAGCATAATTGTATTCAAGATTGAAAATTTTATGTCATGCAGTTTAGCTTACTAATAGTTTTTGGTGTGTACACACTAGATGTAGTCAATCACACCAACAAGGAAATGGAAAATTTTCAGATGTAGATCTTTTCGCATTTTTAGCTAATCTTCACTCCGCTAAACCATGAAATCAACAAAAATTAGTCTGGGATATTTAAATAGAATTACACAAGAATTGACAAGTCAAGCAACAATACAGACTTGATTATGAAAGAATTGACAGAGTTACTCAATCCCTTCACGTCTTTGTTTGGGCGCACAAAATATTGCCTCAAGAGTTCCATCTTCAGGTCACGCAGAGGATCATGCTTAGGTATATCAAGCTGGATCTGGACCTGGCAATAGTCAACATTATCATTCATGAACGGCAAATACGTCATCAAATACAGATGAAATCCAATCATCGCAACATTTAAAGGGAACTCAAACGTGCACGCTCGTTTCAATTAGATCCAACTGTTCCTCCTGACAGTTAAAAAACTATCAGGTTTGATGCGCAAAAAGAACTTTGATGTGAATGGAAAAAATGAAAAAGAATCTTGTAATGAGAACTATGCATAAAATGACAGAGAAAGGAAAGTAATGTTCATTGCTTTCCTGTTTATTTTTTTTTTCCCCCCCGGGTCAAGCTTTCCTGTGCTTAGACTGATAGAAGGAATGCATGTATGGAAAGAAAACTCTTATCAAATTTTCATGATATCCTGAGTGAAGAAATAACTAAATAATCATTTTTCATAATCAATAATAACAAAATAATTACATTAAGTTAACAATAATAATAAAGTACAACTTTTTAATTTTTAAAAAGAAATCAATATAACCAAACATTCAACAAAACCTGCAAAGTTCACATGCCTCTTCCCAGGCAAGATAATTTGCCTGTCCTTTGACCCAAATTATATGCAGCATACGCTTTCAAGAAATAAACTGAAGGTGTGTAGAAGAGAGCAGACCCCAACATACAAGGTGACAGAGACAAGTAAAAAGAAACAAATGACCTCAGAGATGCTGGAAACTTCAAATCTGCCAAAAGACAGTGACAAGACTTATCAAGCATTGCAATCCAACTTTGGTCTCACTCTTACGAATTAATGCATGAGTGAGACACAGTTTCTTACTCCAGTGGTCCTCCTCTGGTGTTGACACTCTATTTACAACCTTTTCCACATGGTATTCAGATGTTGGTGCTACGTTTGGCTTTACGTTTTGGTTGTACATGCCTTTTTGATCTATTTCAATTCTATCGGGTTGATTTCCGCCCCCAACTTGTCTGTTCTACGTGCAGGAGTTGTTTTATGTGGTTGTGTACTGTTTTAGGTTCTGCTTGACATGGTTGGACATAGTTTGTAGTTCTGTTTCAGTATTTTTTTCAGATCTTTGGTGCTTCAGTCACTTAACTGCAGAGAATGAAACAATGGCTCTGCTTGATGTCGTTCGTGTGATGTGGACAATCATGGACATAAGCTGAATTGATTGAATAATCTTAATTTGCACTAGGCAGTTTGGATTTACTTATGAAGCATCAAGAAGGATGATCATCTCATCAAAGATCCTCCTAAAATTGGCACAAAGCACGTGTGGTTAAGGAACTAGTGAGATCATTCTTACAAATTCAAAATCCCATTGCTGGTGAGATGATTCAGCTGGAATCATCATGAGCCTGTTAACACGCCGATAGCTTATTTGGATTTTCATGAAACAGTCATCAAGGAGGATGATCATCTCATCAGAGATCCTCCTAAAATTGGTAAAAAGCACGCGTGCTTAAGGAACCTTAAATCATTCTTACAAATTCAACACCCCATTGCTGTTGAGATGATTCAGCTGGAATCATCATGAGCCTGCTAACACACCGATAGATTATTTGGAATTTCTGTATTCTGGGAAAGGGGATCTTTCTGATGGGGATAAGGTATTTAGAGCTTTTATTATCAATACAAACGTGACAGAATATTTAGAATTTCTGTATTTTGGAAGGAAATCAAGTAGTAAAAGGGATGTCACAATTAATGTTAGACAAGGCCATTCGGTTAATCATTAAGCAAACTAGAGAGACAGTATCAACCCAGAATGGCTCAGGAACCTTTACTTGAAAGAGAAGTGTTCATGCAACTTCAAGAAAATGCATACCCTCATGTGCCAATGCAGACCTTCATGCGAGGCGTTAATCACTAAAATCAATGGCCCTGGATAATCCCAAGGTAGGTGTGAAAGCTAATGGTCATGGAAAAACTAAGTTGACCCCTACCAGTGAGCAATACACTCAAAAATGGAAGAAGCAATGCAGCAAAAATTTTGAGCGAGCGCAGATGCCATGTGAATCAAAGAATGGAAAAATGGTCCGAGATATGATTCAAAATAAAATTCTCTATTTACGAATGGTAGAGGCTCCAATCAATTAATTGCTAATAATGATAAATAACTAGAAATATTGCTATAATAATTACAAGGATCATATTAATTACAAAATCAAGTCAATCCTTGTTCTTTTTCATTTGTCATTTTGACAGGTTACAAACTACACAAGTAACCACTTTGAAAAGCAACAGAAATTCTCAAAATAAAACGAACATTCCAAAGTCTAAACACCTCACGACGAAGTGGAGGTTGGGAGTTCCCCCATGTGCATAGATAAGATAGATTGATAGAATATGCATAGGAAAGTAGATAGAGGGTAGCTAGGAGAATTGTGGGAAAGGATAGCACGTGAGATCAATTTAATGCTGAAATCATTTAAGTGTCAATATTAAACACCCATGTGATCATTCACAGAACATATGTAGTAATGGACATCAGGACATGCCAAGATGAGAAAAGAACCCCATCACCCTACAACAAACCCTTCCAAATAAGAGCAAACATTACTTGACATTCAGATACAAGAAATACCTCATCGTAATTGTTGTATGGAAGTGTAAAGCCAAAGTCCAGCATCAAGGTAGCATTAGAAAATTTTCCATATCTTATTAATACCTGAAAAAAAAAATCTAGTTAAGCCTCTTAGCTGCGGGCAGTTGGAATATCAATTAGTTACTCTTAATCTTAACAACCACTGCAAATTAACAGGAGGATTAGGGAAAAAGGATATAATTATTTCTCATCACTTTCACTGTCATTCTAATAAAGTTTTTATAGGCCTCTATCAACAAATATGGATTTGGACCTGTTCAAATTCCAGGATTTTCTTTTTGGGGAAAATGTGCGATTTTAAGATAAAGAAAGATTAATCAAGATTCCATAACAGAGCTGCTTCAGCTGGCCTTTCATAATTATTGTCTACAGAAGAGCAGTCTCATGTAGTCACCCCAACACGTGTACTTTCATAATTATTTTCTTATTCAGAGGTATTTCACTTTTAATCTTCTCATAGAAAATTTTGACAATGATAGCAACGCCACTAGATGTTTGAACAACATAACACAGGGAATCAGTTGGCAAATCTTCAATCATCTTCAAACACATTGATTCAGCCCTCCCAGTCAAAAACTTAGGCCATCCAAAACTTTTGGCATTTATACTGACCTGTTCACCAAGAGCATAGTCACGATCAGCAATAACCTGCATATATTAACATTGCAAAAAGGATTGAATCAAAAGATATAAAAGGATTGTGTGATAGAAGATAAAATGTAATAGAAAGAAATTAATCACATTCACTGATGCAATGTGGTTTTAATCAAATGATCGTTTAAATAGACTGAGGTAACCATTGATAAATTTAATGCATGATAGACAAAGGAAAAAGGAGGGGAAAATAAAAGTGGAAGGAGAGAGGAAGACAACTTCTGAGTACTGTTTGTCATCATCGCTCATTACAATTGAATCTGAATCTCCATCGTGATTCAAGAAATCTGCAAAAGGAATCTGCAAAGCAATCTTAAATAACTAATCAAGGGTTAAACATGAAAACAACTTAAAATGCTATACCAGAGATAAGCCCTTCATGCTTCCCCATGCTCGAGAACCAACTGTTGATTTGGCATATAAGATGTCAGATCTGAGGATTAAGGAGGAATACAAAATTGATAATCAATGGAATGTAATAGAGAATTACGTTTACTGTTGATTTGGCATATAAGATGTCAGATCTGAGGATTAAGGAGGAATACAAGTTTGACAATCAATGGAATGTAATAGAGAATTACGTTTACAAGTGACTTTCAAGACTTCGTTTTGCATAATGCACCCAGGCAATCATATTGAATTAGTCTGGTCAGGAAGGCCATATATCCCCATACCGGGGTGAAAAAAAACTAAAACTAGAACCAAAAAACAATGCAAAGAGGGGAGAAGAACTCAGACAAGCATGGCTCTGGAACCCGTGGTGCAGGGAAAAGGAGGGACAGAAGAGAAAAGAACAAGAAGCAGAAAATGGTAATGAATAATTAATCATTAAGTAAAAATAAAAACATAGATTTCCACATTTCAATATCTGTGACAAAATGATGACTGTAATAAAGATGAACAGAATTATCAGAATATCATGACAAGCATTGTCAGCTCCAAAGTCACGAATGGAGAGAAGGTTCAACAGAATAAAACTCCTCATTGACCCCTACTCAGAACACCGCATCAGACCCACTGGTTCAGCTGGACAAACAGTGAACCGGTCCTTCCATGCTTCAGGAAAGAACTGGCCAAAAATCAGTATGGACTTGACTGGTTCGAATGGTTCATGACATTTGTTCTTTTATCCCGTTATTGAGTATTGAACGCAACGTCATTTTGGCTCCTTTTTAGGTTTTGGAAAGTGAAAATTTTTTACTGTCCCTTAGGTTATAATATAAATGATAATTATGTATTTTCTTTATTTTTTGCAATTGAAATATTTGTTGTAATGATTATTAGCGACCATCAAATATGCTATCATGCACTAGCATGAACTTATTTTACATATCATAGAGCTAAGAAAAATCTACTTAAATATATTAAAATGTACATGTTAAAAACCCGGAGTTTTCCTTCGATTAGATTACATTTACAATAGAAACAGACCCATAAACAAGAAAACGATTTAGAAGAAGAAGAAGAAGAAAAAGAAAGACTCTAGGACTTCCAGGACGGACAACACGAATACCCAAACTCTGCCTCCCAATCAACCCAACCAACTTCTTCCATAACCTCTCTTGTCAACTTACACATGTTTCCTCACCATCACAATGCCCAATATGCCAAGCAAAAAGTCAGTAAATCCCTGCCGCCCAATTTCCACTAGCAGCCCCATACACCTCTCAATCCCATTGCTTACATCGTTTGGGTTCTATGTTACTAGGTTGTCATTTTCCATCTTCGATTACTCGTAAGTAACATATATGATAGATATTTTATCCACCAAGGTTAGAAAGTAGAACGGCAAACCACAACCACTACTACTGTTAGTTCAATGGACGGAACTAATATCAACTATGAACGATGGATATGAAGCACTCAAGAACATGGACACACAAAATTTACAACATAAAGCTTTCAATGTGTATCATTCATATCCTAATTTTTTATTTAGTGACCTACAACCATGAAATCCTGACCGGGAAGGGGGAAATCCTTTATTCTCAGTATCTTTATTTTTCAAAAAGATCAATTAAGGAGTAAATATTATTCAACTTTTTGTGCCGAACAAAAATATAAGGAAAAATTCTCCGTATCTTTATTTTTCAAATAGATCAATTGAGGAGTAAATATTATTCAACTTATTGTGTGGAACAAAAATACTGGAGAAAAACATTTATTATATCATCAAGATGGGTTTGCTAGACTCTCATTTATCTTTCTACTAGATCATTTTTCCTGTTTCCAGGACCAGCTGCACCCAGGCAACGTTCAACTTTCAGACCTTTTTATGCTAACATCTCGCATGTGTGTCAAAAATGCCACTGTGGACACATCAACAATCTGGAAACTAGATGTATTCATGCTTAATAACATGTAGACAACAAAAGGTATAGATGATCCTCCAATCAACATAAAATAAATCTTAGATACAAGCTTTTCCTTCCTTCTCTCATACATAGAAATCAATCACAAAACACTATGACTGGAACCATTACAGAAAAATAACACAGTCGAGCAGAACAGTTACTCAAGTGCATTGCTTACCAAGTGTGCAGGCGTGCATGAAATCCTTGAAAGTAAATTCTCCAAAACTTTTAAGAAGACTTTTGAAAACCTGAATTTGAAGAGGAACATTTCATCAAAGTCAGTCTCAGTAAACTGGTAGCATCAATAACTCTCACTTCCCAAACATTAAAACACACAAATACAAGTAAGATGTAAAATACTCTCTGAAAGTGCCCAAGTAAAAATGTCCCCACAATAAGAGAAACTTTGACCTAGTTTATATCCATCTGTCAAAGATTAGTTGGTGGGTTGTCTAATCATTCCAATGATACTGAGGAAAAATATTTCACAATATAAAACAAGTATATGAAAAAGCAAGTTATGTTTATTGTTCAATAACCTACCTAGTGGTCATTTGGTCTGAATGAATAACAAGAGAATTTGCAGATGAAAATGATTTTTTTACCCCTTAATTTATTAAAAAAAAAAATATAAGAGAGAATCACTTTTCAATTACTACTACTATTAAGTAATAAATGACGTCCTTTACTGCAGCACAGATAAAGAAAAAAATTGTCCTTGTTTCCAAGTCATCATGTCATGCAGAACCAAGACTTTTCTATCCATCACATGTTCATAATAATGAAGAAGCATTACCATACCATAAGACATAACACAAATTCAAACATGATTAATTGTTAGGAAAAACAACCAAAACGTTAAAAAGAAGCAAGTGAAATACTCACTGGTCTGATTGCCAAAAAGTCCTTCTCAATTTGAGACTTTTGATTGATAGTTTCCTGATACACTGAGCTTAGCCGAATCATGTCCAATTCACTTTCACTCCAAAATATCTAGAAAGATTTAACATCAATCATATTGAAGATCGTGGGGATTGCTTTTATCTGACAAGTACATATAAACATTCAAATCAGAACTCATTTATGATTCCTGCACAAAGTTCCTTTAAGCCGTAGTCCTTTTATTTTGGCTAATAGAGGAATGTGGATTTTGTTCCATTAGCCTAGTCTGGTCACTTTTTCTTCTGATTTTTCTCTAGTATTTTGTAGTTCAGAAGAATTTTAAAATAAGCCAGGATTAAACAATTTAAAAAATTAAAGTTGAGAGAAAAGGAAGGACGATGGTTTCTTGGTTTTAGCTGTAAACTGACTTCTGTTCCTCTGGCAATTGCAGAGTTGATTGGATTTATACAAGGTCTAAATTTATGTTGATCGAAGGGATACAGACAAGTGTGTAATTTGTATTACACACGAATTGTGCTGAAGCCCTCTATAGTGAGGCAAGTCACCCTTTCAAGGATATTATTGATGCAACGAGGCTATCGTGTCACACAGGGATTGGTCCATTCTTCCGTTTCATTTACCTAGAGAGTCTTCGTCTACCACTGATTACTTGGTGAAACACCCCCATTCGTTAGAGAGTAGCTTTCATATCCTAGATCAACCACCTTCCAATTTAGAGGGGGAGGTTGATAAAGGAAACTACGTTTTTTGGTTATTACGTCTAGGTTTTTTTGTCGTTTTCAGTTTCTATTCCCAAAAAAAATATTAATAAAAAAGTTGCATAATAAATAGGGAAACCGTTTTCTAATTTTAAGAAGTGGAATAGCCTTTTTAATGTAACACAGCATGCACATTTAATAAATGAGAGCGGCATGGCATCTGATACAAATGCAATTTGCATTCTTTCGGCCTGGTGCAAAAGCTTTAAAATAAATGGACTTTTACACACTTTTAAACTACATATGTACATGTATGAAGAATAGGAAACACTCAAGCGCATATTAAAATATCCTAACAACATTTACTTCTTCCATAATGTTGATTATAGAAAACTACAATTCCAAAATGTATTTTTGGAATATTAAAGCAGCTGATAATCTTGAAGCATCATAAGCTAATAATTTCTTGCCTAATCAGAAATGCAATCACAGTCAATTTCTCTGCAAGGATAGTAGACCGAAAATCAAGTATGAAATTCAAATATCATTTACAATTTCCAATATCTCATGTACTTTGGCAGTGGCACACATTGTACAGTAATATAGTCAAAAGTGCCCTGAACCTCATCTCTATCTGCAATCTGCAACTATTTTCTATAGACTCTCTACATTGTGTGATTGAGAAGGATAAACAATCATTTCATGCTTGAGGTGCATGCATTTATATTCCCTCCGGTCCATAATATATGTTGGTCAGGAAAAAAAAATGTGGTCCAAAATATAAGACATTATCAAGATAATTAATGTGATTTTTTCACTTTCACTCTTATTAAATATAAGAGAGAGGAGAGAGATGAGAGATAATAAAAGTATAACATTAAAGGCAACTTCATCATTTCTTAGGGATAAAATAGGAAAATTTTATGATTTTCGGACACATTTAATGACTAAACTTCTATTTATTGTTATGTAAGAAAAGTTAACCAACTTCTTATATTATGGACCAAAAGGAGTAGTTCTTTTTCCTCCAACTGCTATTAGTGCATCTTCTATGAACTTACAGATGAAAGTCAGAATCATTATTAGCAATGCTCTTCATGATTAAGAGAGCTGATTAGGAATGAAATTAAAATGTGGTCTAAATTAAGGAGATATTATTAGGTCTGGAAAGAGTCAATGGATTTTTTTTTTTTTGGCATCATGCCCTTTAATACTAGTACGAGTAAGAGCTTATTCTAACAGAAAAGGGTAAATAAATAAGAGCTTTAGATAAATTCCAAGAGAGATAAATCTTGAGCTTGAGTCCTTGACTATTCTAATGAAACTTCAATACTCTGAATGTATTATTCGATAGCTAAAGCTCCACGGATAAGCTCCAATGGAGGAATTACAGCAGAAGAACGAAACAGAAATGCTCACGGCACCCACCTAGAGTCACATGGACCCTCCTAAACCTCACTCAGTTTTTCCCATGCCCTCCCCGCCTAGCCTTCCCACACAATATACTCACCTCTTTCCATAACTAACTCGTAGGAATACCCAAAATTACCCTTGACACATAAGAAACACTAGTCATCCGAATTGGGCTTCTTCCTCTGTCTAACATACTTCAATTTCGGCCCGTGTTCAACAATACCCTGCCCATCAAGATGGACCTTATCCTCAAGGTGAAAAGTCAGAAATTGTTGATGAATAACGTCGTAATCTTCCCAAGTACTGTCACAGTCAGATAGATTAACCCACTTAATCAGAAGTTCTATACGACCATCTGTGAGTTTGCGATGCTTCAATACAGATTTAGGATAAACTTGGAGCTCCAGATCAGCAGTTAGTGTAGGCGGAACAGAGTGGGAAATGAGACCTGGAGAAAGTGATTTTTTGAGTTGAGACACATGAAACACCGGGTGGATTTTTGCCTCTGGGGGTAACTGCAACTTATAAGCAACACTGCCAATTCGCTCCAAAACTGAAAAAGGACCATAAAACCGCGGGGTGAGCTTCTCATTAGGGCGGACAGCAAGAGAACGTTGTCTGTACAGCTGGAGCTTAAGATAGACAGTATCACCAACATTAAAGTGGACATCGTGACGTTTCTTATCAGCATATTGCTTCATATATTGTTGGGCCCGCTGTAAATTCTGCTTTAATTCATCCAGAATAGCATTTCGAGCCTGGAGCTGAGTAGTAACAGCATCAACAGGGGAAGCAGATTCCTGGAAACGAAACAATGTAGGAGGATCCTGGCCATATAGAGCACGGAAAGGTGACATGCCAGTTGACCGATTGTAATTGGTATTAAACCAATACTCCACCCAACACAACCATTTAGCCCACGTCTGTGGAGTGTCACTGCAAAAACACCTTAAATATGTTTCCAGGCTCCTGTTAACCACTTCTGTTTGACCATCACTTTGAGGATGGTAACTAGAACTATAATTCAGGGAAGTTCCTGCAGCCTTAAACAAAGCCTTCCAGAAAGTGCTCAAAAAGAGTTTGTCCCTATCAGAAACAATAGAGCGCGGAAAACCATGGAGACGAACCACCTCCTTAACAAACAAGTCAACAACATCACTTGCGGTATAAGGATGATGAAGTGGTAGGAAATGTGCGTACTTTGTGAAATGGTCAACGACCACCAGAATAGTATCATAACGTTGCGATTTAGGGAGTCCAGAAATAAAATCCATAGAGATATCTGTCCACACCTGATCTGGAACAGGAAGGGGTTGGAGCAACCCTGCAAGACTTAATGCGAGATGTTTATTACGTTGACAGGTGTCACAAGCAGCCACATATTTTTGAATATCTCGACACATACCATCCCAGTAAAAAAGAGAAGCAAGCCTCTTGTAGGTCCGAAGATATCCAGAATGACCCCCAATAGGAGAGTCGTGGAACTCACGTAGCAACAGGGGAATTCGTGGCAATGACTTAGGTAAGACTAAGCTGCCTTTGAAAAATAGATGACCACCTTTTAGTGCATAGCCCGGGGTAGCAGGTTGACTAGTAGCTAATTGCTGGATAATTTGAGCCAGACTATCATCTTTTTGAACCTCGGTATCCCAAGTATTCACATCAACTGATTGAGCCATAGTAATGGCATTGAGCCCACATTGTTCATGCTGCCTCGACAAGGCATCAGCAGTGGAATTAGTCCTCCCCGGTTTGTATTGGATCTGGAAAGTATAGCCCATGAGTTTAGACACCCAGCCTTGCTGGGAATCATCAAGAATTCGCTGTTCCAACAAGAATTTCAGAGCTCTTTGGTCTGTCCGTATGATGAATGGTCGGCCCAAAAGATAATAACGCCATTTCCTTACTGCAAAGACAATGGCCATTAATTCTCTCTCATATACTGAACATGTCCGGCGCCTAGCTGAAAGGGAGTGACTAAAGTAAGCAATAGGATGTCCTGACTGCATCAAAACCGCCCCTAACCCAGTACCTGAGGCGTCGGTTTCCACAATAAAAGGCTGTGAAAAATCAAGGAGGGCCAAAACTGGAGTTGAGGACATGGCGTGCTTAAGTTTGTCAAATGCAAGCTGGGCCTCCTCAGTCCAATGAAAAGCATTCTTCTTGAGAAGGTCAGTCAAAGGTGCACCAATTAACTCATAATGGTGAACAAACCGGCGATAATACCCAGTCAAACCCAAAAACCCACGAAGACTCTTCAGATTGGTGGGAGTAGGCCAAGACTGCATGCTTGCTATCTTGGCAGGATCTGCATGAACTCCATCTCCAAAAATAATGTGACCAAGGTACTCAAGCCTAGGCTAGGCAAAAACACACTTCTTAACATTGATCACTAAGAAATGCTGTCGCAGCAGTTGCAGAGTTAAGCTCAAATGCTGAAAATGAGTGCTCTGATCGTCACTGTACACTAAGATGTCATCAAAGAAAACCAAGATGAATTTTTGCAGGTGCTGCCGGAAAACATCATTCATGAGTGATTGAAAGGTAGAAGGGGCATTCTTCAAGCCAAAAGGCATGACCATGTGTGAGTCGGGAGACCTGATTGTATAATTTCTGTATATTTTCTATTCACAGATTGTGGGTACACAGGTTTATATATAATTTACAGGGTAGGAAAAAAGGAAATATAATCAAACCTATAACAGCTATATTCAACGGTAAAGAATCAAGGAATAATGAATCATAAATGCCAAGATAATGAGATAGAATTAGGGAGTAATCAGCGAGCATTATATCTGGGATTTCACACTCCCCCTCAAGTTGGATCATAGATGTCACTCATGTCCAACTTGCATACTAAGTCTTCAAATTTCTCTTTGTGTAATCCTTTGGTGAAGATATCAACTATTTGATTCCAGGTAGGCACATGTATGAGGGTAACCAATCCTCCGTCTAATTTTTCTCGGATAAAATGTCTAT